AGCCACGGTTGCTGGGCCCAGGATGTTTTTCTTTGAACCACACGGGTTCTTCAGAATCGAGAGCTTTGAGGGTCTGCACCCGCAGCAGGGTCCGGCCCCTCTGTAGGGAGGGTAGAGGATTCTTAAGGTGGGAAAGGGCATTGACTGCATTGACTCTGTCTTCATCACTACTTCACTACTTTCCTCCAACCTTCAACCTTCTAGGTTGGTTTATCCTCTAACCCCCCCCAACACACCCATCGAGTGCGTGCCACTAATCTTTAACTTGGACGAAAATCCTGCGAACCATGTGTGTGTGTGTACATATATATATATATATCGTATATATACATGCATGATTGTATATGTATGTGTGTGGTGTGAAGATCCTGTGTGTGTGCGTGATGTTCTTCAGTCCTGTCTTCCAGCCCGGCTCCCTGTGCTTTTTCGCTCCGATGGTGGCCGCGGTAGGTTCCCCTCGGACTGGTCCGCGCTTGAGCAGTAACCTCCTTCGAGCCGGGTGGCTGAGGGCAACCAGTTATAGTTTTTGCGATTTCAACGAGAGACCGTGCGATGATTGTGCGGGATCAGTGAGTCCTTCTACAACACAACATTCTGGAAGTCCTGTAACATACATATATATATGGTTTAGTGACCTCTATCGATCAATGTGTCCGATTTGTTGGCACAATACTCCGCAGGAGTTTGCAGGAAATGGATGAGCAAATTGGAAAGAATACGATCATTCCACAGGCCTAGACACTTGCCCCTCCTGGGTATTGGGATGTATTGGGTATACCAATACACTAGAGACTTGGAGACTTACATCACTTCAGGAAGCTCTCCCCTTTTTCAGCCTGTTGGCCCAGGTTTCCCCGACGACCCCACCACCGCACCAACCACGGGCAGGAACAGCGAACAGAACGAACAAAGACCCCCCCCGTGCTTCACTTGCTTGGTGGCGGGAATGTCCGCACTAGATAGAAACACTTGCCGCGTATTTTGCCGCGCATGGCAGTTGGTTCACACATGTTGGACGTTTTTGGAGGAAGTCTCGTCCAAAATGCTCTTTTGGAATGTTCCAGAAGAGACTCAGACAAGTGTCCCATAAGACTGCCCTATAAGAGTGTCTCACAAGAGTGTCCCACAACAGTTGTCCTACAAGAGTGCCTACAAGAGTCTGCGACAAAAATGTCCCGCAGGAATGTCCCACAAGAGTGTCCTGCAAGAGTGTCTCACAAGAGTGTTCTACAAGAGTGTCCCACAAGAACAGCCCGCAAGAATGTCCCACAACAGTGTCCTACAAAAGTGTCCTCCAAGAGTGTCCCACAAGAGTGCAGTACAAGACCTATACAAGAGTGTCCTACAAGATAGAGCGCCCCACAAGAGTTCCCTTCAAGGGTGTTGCACCAAAGAGTGTCCAGGAAGAGTGTGGCACACAAGTGTCCCACATGTGTGTTGCACAAGAGCGTTCACTTAGAAGATTGTCCCACAAGAGCGTCAAGCCAAAGTGTCGCACCAGCGTGTTTCGGAAGAGCGTCCTGGAAGAGTGGCAGTGACACCCCAGAATGTCCGTCAATATTTTTTTCAAGAGTGTCAGCAAGCAAGAGTGACAACAAGAGGCCCTGTTTGTATACGTGTGTGCATTCTGGCTTGTGGATTTCAACCAGGTTTTGAGAATATATACACCTTGATCGCGACAAATAATGTTTGCCAATTTGCTGTCGGTGTATTGCCAGCGTTGTGTTCCATTTTCTGCTTGCTGGCCGCTTCAGCTTGACTATTGGTCACCTTCAGACAAACTAACTAGCGATGTATTTGTCAGTTTGCTGTTGGCTTCTCGTTGTTTGATCACACAGCCTGAACATGTTTCACTCAATCACGCTACTCCCATTTACTCATAGCCCCACAAAAACCCGTGGTGTATCCAAACTACACCGACGAGTGTGTGCTGTGTTTGTGAAGCCAACATACAATGTTTTGCATGTTGCTTGTGGACAAAATTGTTGTCCATTTGCTTCTATGTGATTCTAATATCCATCATCTTGTTTCACTTTGCATACAACAAGAAAGCAGGAACATGTTGTTTTCAAGGTGGCGGTTCTTCTTGCTGTCTTGCCTGGTCACTATATATGTTTTGTGGGCCCAGACATTGTGAAACAGCATCCCTTTCACTTGGATCCTATCTGCCATAGAACGCACTAGCAGACTAGCATGTACATTGCACCGCACAGACTTGAAGGATTGATGAATCAATCCACTGAACAGTTGAAGAACTGTCAAAAAACCGGCGCACTGAATCCAAGGTGAATGGTGGACAAGGTACCGCACATTTGGAGGCTAGGTTGGTTGCCACTGGTCATGATGCTAGTGTCTAGTTTGCAGGTTTTGGTGTGTTGAGACTTGGAGATAGCAGACAGAGCAAGTTGCTGTATTACAATGAACATTTCCTCTGGAAACCTGACAACAGTGATCTTTGCAGCGGAAAAAATCCGATGTGCACTTCGTGCACTTCTCAAAGGAAAGATGGCAACGACGTGGGCAAGTACAACCCCCTACTATACTGGGTGTATAGTAGGATTTCTGTTTGATCCGAACATCAACAAGGACGACGTGCCGGGCTTACCCCGTAGGGGCATCACTGAACGTCAAGGTGAACTCCACGCGGTTGGAGGGAACTCCACCCGGTTGGAGGGTCTGACGGTTGCAACACCGCCACAGAGGGGTGCTTTCCTGAATGGTCGGAGCCCGCCTAAACGGGCCCGTTTGGAAGGTTTGGGTACACAGTTCGTTTGATAACATGTTGGTTATAGCAAACATTGTTACTACTAGTAAGGCACTTGTTACTACTAGTAAGGCACTTGTTACTACTAGCGGTGCAAAAGCATCTCGACGGCTCGACGGGTGAGGACAAACTCTTGCCATTCCGCCAGGTGGCCTTGGCGTGGCCGGGGAACTCGTTGCAGCTATGCTGCTATCCTAACAGATGCTTTGTTTATAATATGTTGAACCGCGTACCGAACCAAGCAAGAAGAAGGCATCGTTCCACACTCCATGCATCGTCCCCAGGAGTTACTGATGTGTCTCCTTTACCTTTTTCCCTCCCACAACAGTAACTCCTGTGTCCTTCTTTGGTCAGGAATGGTGATTCGTGCGCAAGATCGCACAAGCAGCGTATCGAAAAGAGCAGGTATGTTTACTATATTATATTTTGTTTCATTCCATTAGGAGTGAAAGAACCAATAGTTGTGTTTGTTTGATTTATGTGTTGTATAACTATAGGCTAATGGCTTGAGTCTAGGGCTGCTCGAAGAGCTTTCCAATAATCTCGGTGGCGATCCCTACAACAACGATGGTCCTACCGTCCCTGATGCGTTCGCACCTTGGTGCTTTTCTGACAGAACACACGATGGTTTGTGGGCTCCTTGCACCCCGCGTGATCGGTTGACCCCCTCCTCTCTCAAGTGGTCCGTTCGATCGGTTGGTCAACTGAGGGTCTCCCGGTGGTCGACCCACAGCCATATGAGCGACGGACACGAAGCATCATGAACGGGTGCCCACCGTCGTGGGGTTCTTTGCAACACGCATGTCACTGATGGATGGTCAAATCACGTATATACTCCCAAGCAGGCAGCAAACCACAGAACTAACACGGAAACACGATTTGTGACCTGATAGGTGATTTCATCAACTCCCTAGATCAATAGATCAACATCAAACTTTTGCTGTGCATCCTGCCTTGGCACTTCAGTTTTCCTCGGTCAAGTCCTACCAGAAGGCTTCAACAACCTCCGTTTGGGTCTTCGTAGCCCCACGATTTCGTGGGGGTTCATCCCTGACGATGTGCAGTTGGAGCGGTCTTTTTTTGTATGGAGTGGACCATGTGGACCATCCGTTTCAGGGTGTGGAAGCCATCCGTCTTCGGTGAACACCAAATGAAGGCACACCTTGTCATGAGCCCGCGCGCCCGCGCCGAGGCGAGGCATTGAGATCAAGCTTTGCCTGGGACCTTCTTCAAGGCGGCCAGATTCATGCGATGGCGATGGCCTTCCTCGAGCCAAGAATCCAGAGGTGTGAATGTTCTTATTTATGGGGCAGGACAGAAATGGAATTGGGCAGAGGAAGGAGAATTGATCAAACAGGATCAACTTCGAAACGCATATATTTGTTTTTTTGATCCCAAATAGGCCATGCGCCTGGATGAAATCCGATCATGTAACAGTTTTCATGGGCCATGTGCCGTCCCCTACGCAGAAGTGCGCATTTCTGCAAGTCAAGACTATGGCAAGTGGATTGCAAAAAACACTTTGGGCATGTCAAGACAGTGGCCTCACTAGGGGGAAGCATGCAACATGATCGAAAACATGATGTCACAGCCAAAAGCAACACCCTTTAGAATGAGGGTGACACTGGAACAAGGTGAGCTGGTGGAGACTGCGGAGTGTCAAGACAACAGCTTGGCAAGCTGTCCTGAACATTTCCTGTTCCTCAAACACTCCATTGTAGATGGCAGTTGAGCTATAATAAGCCATCCAAGAGTAGAGGCGGCTCTTCAGCATCACTAGATGCCCCAGTAATCAAGTCATTGGCTTTTATCAGAGAGGCGATAATTGATTCATTTGATTCAAGTCATGGGCTTGACACATGGTCATCCCACCAAACCATGGGCTGCCAGTGCTTCCTCCATGCGCACTCTGCCATGGGGTGCCAGTAAGCCCTGTCAGTGGGGGTTTGGTTGAGACCGGCGAAGAAGCCGCCCCATGGGCCCCGAAATGGAAGGCGTTCGGCAGCACCTGGTGCACCACTCCGTGTACCGCGTGCACAGCGTTCGTTCGGACTGGGACTGGTGATCACTGGTGGTACCCATGCACACTTAGTACAAACCATGGTGAAAGTGGACATGCCAAACGTGGAGAACGTATGGCCGAAAAGCTGTTCGGATGACCATGAAATCCGAAGACCAAACAGGTGGTGCCATCGACGTAACCATGATGATTTCAGGGAGTGTGCAGGTGATGACCATGTTCTCCAGTTCAAGCATGGGCGAAGAGACCTTCCCATCACGCCTAAGGAACATAACACAATCTGAAGCAGTCTTGAATTTTGCAGAGACACTTTTTGTAGTCTTCCCACAGTCAGCATGCACAGTGGACGACGTGACAGCCAAAGCTTTGACTCCACACTGGTTTGAGCATCGCATGGTGCCGGAAGGACTTCCAATGGACTTCCAATCCCTTGAGCTTCGAACCGTCATTGGACCGGTTTCCTGCGTCTTGTCTCCGATCCAAGGATCACGATCCAAGCGGAAGGGGCAAGAATGACTTGGTTTTATGATGTTTTATGGGTAAATCTCCGAACCTGATAACTTGTTTTTGATCGTTTTTGTATGTTTTTTTAAAATCAGTGTTCTTTTTGTGTGCTGTGTTTGTCTTTCCTCCCGGACAGCACATCCATGATGACATGCAGAAGCCGGGCAGGGATCCCGAGTTCGCCATCATGAAAGCGTGGACGGAATGCAACTTAGCCATGGACCCCAGGCAGCAGATGGATGTTTGATGCAGCAGAGTCGAGTCGGAGTGCTTGGAAAGTCCCCAAGTCAGTGAGTGGATGGACACTCCGTGAGGTTTTTTTTTGAACAGGAACCACTTTGGAACTGCATGTTCGATTGGGTTCTGGAATGTTCTGGATATTCTCCAATAATTAGGACCTTGCCAAGGTTTGATACCGGCGGCGTGTTTGAGATGTGTTGGCGGGAAAGTCCCGAAAGGCTTGAGACCTCAGCTGTAACTGCTGTGTTGAGGAAAAGTTCATCGACATTAGCGTGTAGAAATGCTATTTGGTCCCCAAATATTACTTATTGGGGATCTACTATTCTATCTATTTGGGGGGGTCTATATATATATATGTTAATATGTTTTTGTTTTCCAATGTTTTTCCATTCCGTGATGGCATGGTCCCAAGCCCCCTGTTATCTCTGCATGTGACCTCACACTGGGACTTCCCGACCAGCAAGAGTCGCATTAAAGAAAAGGACTAACTAGGCAGTGCAGTGTGTTTGTTGTTCCTTGACATGGCGTTTTTGCACACCAATCGAAACTGTATTGGATTCCAGGGTGCCCGCTTGTAGATGTCGCCAAGGGCCTGGGGCTTGGTGGGGTGTTTGACCCGAGATGACATGGACATCCGATGAGTTGCCGCCTCTTCTGAAGTAGGACCTCGGACACCCAGGGGTAAAGTCCCCACAAAGACATCAAACTCCAGAGAGAATGAAGTGGCCTTGGAAACCGCGCGGATGCTATGAGCCGGGGATCATTGGCGTTCGCTAGCAGATGCAGAACAAACATCAGAACATGTCCCAGACGCTCCATGTATGCCATATATGCCTACATTGACCCCTTTTCAACCACCCCAACTGATCGGCAAATAGGCCAGTCGTGTTGGCAGCCGTCGCCGTCGCCTTCCTCGGACGATTCCAACCGATGGACTTGGATGGACGGCCACGGCCCCACATGCCTGCAGCTGGCGGTGAGGAATCCGTCCGCACCATCAGTGCAGATCTATCAACATGAGGATCCAAGGTTTGTCTACAGCAGTCTACGGTTGAAGTCTTTGGAATCACCTGAAGTTTCTTTTTAGTTTGGAACCACATTGTCACCACATTAGTTTCCGCAGTTTACTATACCAATAGTGCTTCTCTTCCTCCACTGGGCTATCGCCCGCCGCGCCCGTTGGCCCGAGGCCGATGCGGCGGAAGACGTCCACCGAGCGGCGAGGCAATGCTATCACGAACCCGTGGAGGCGGGCGGCGAAGCCGCCGGAGCCGCGGCGGAGAGGAGGATGGAGGAGAGGACTTACTGGCTGTTAAGCAGCAACCTGCATGAAGAACTACTTTGAAACCTTCAAGTTCAGTAGAGATCCTTTCAATCTCCAGTGGTTCCCTGTTCCTGCTTAACAGCCAGTAAGACGAGAGGTCGAGAGGCGTTTTTATTTACGGAGGTGATCTTTTTTGGTCAGAGCTTGTGGTGACATGGAGGGTCCTACATGAGGCAAGCTAAAAAAAGGAACAAACACTCTTTTAGATCCCCAAATGACAGGATACAGCACGTAAGCTTCCAGTACTGTTTAAGCGAAGCACGTGAAGTAAAGTAACTATAATTTTTTTCAGCTTGTGGTTGTGCTGAGGGGAGGCATTTAAGCTCGTCCAAGTCAAGAGGGAACTTGTGTTTCTGCTTTTGCAGACTCATCTATCGGGTCTACCGAGGTGAGTGACGATTTCCAGAATTGGCCCCTCAAGCTCGCTCAGTATGTAGATCTTCCAGTGGCGTGGAATCCCCTTCACAGATCCAAAGCTTGCTGTTTGTAGAAATCAAGCGAACCATGCTGAAGTGCAAAAGACCGATTCAATTGAGGTTCCTAGATCATATCCTATAGTGAGATTTTTGGAATCCATTGGCACTTTGGGGAGTTGCGGTGTGAACCAATTTGTTGAAACCATTTTGAAAGCATAGAGTTAGTGACTTGATCATGGGAAGGTATAATATAGGAACCATAGTTTGCGTCTGATATATAGAAAGTAAGTGGGATCCACGAGAGATTTCCATGGCCGATTATATACTCGATAGGCAAAGACCATGAACGACCCGATTTTGCGCTCCCAAAGCGGCACAGCCACCGTCTGTTTGCTCCCAGCGCTCCAAAATCTAACTGACTCAGTCATCATGAACTAGAAGGGTAGCCAGCTCATTCTAGCTGCTAGATCTCGCGGCTGAGGGCCTGGGAGGGCCTTTCCAAGAATCAAAAGAAAAAGGCCCCACATCATGTGTGAGCGGTGTGAGGCCTTTATGGAGGCTTTGATGCCCGTGGGAGGCTAAGAAGAGTCGGGAGAGGCTCCAAAGACCTGCGATGTAACGGCTTGGTGCTTGGGGTTTCCGAGTCCAGCCCGATCCGACAGAAGGGATCCACACATCCCGGTGAGCTGGGTATAAACACCTTAGGACTTTCACATCCAAGAATTCTGACAGGAGAGGAACCCCCGGTTGATCATTGCTCGCACATTCTCTGTACTTTTCCATTCAGAGTCCTCGATCGCGTGCGGAGGGGTGCTCCTTGAGCGCCGGCCTGAACCCTTGAGCCAACAACTTGTTTTTTTTCGAGCCAACATCACGTGGTTTCTGCGGGGGGGGGGGGCGTGCTTCCTTGGGGGGAAGGTTTGAGTGCTGAGGTGAATGATCCAACCCCGGAGGGGCAGCCAGAGGATGAGGATGACCTCCAGGACATGTCTTTCGGGCATAAGACGGCGTCGTGCTAAAAACTGGTCATTGGACTTGGGGGACTTTGGTATGATGCATGGGACCGGCGACTGGCAAGTTGGAGAACCAGGGGATGAGTGAGTATGTTGAATTCTTCCAGAATCCCTGCAAGATTGGACTCAGCTCCTGTTGGACTCTGCAGGGTTGGCAGGAGCAGAGTGTGCTCACTGACCTGCGAGTCAAAGGAAATCGCTCACACGAAGTGTTTCCTTATTCTTGCTCACACACACACACACACGAAGTGAGCTCCAATGAACGTGTTGATTGGACGTGCTGGAAAGCTGAGGGGTAGTGACTACACAACCAGGCACCGCAGTCATACCTGTCATACCTCAAAAGAGAAGCCACGTCCTGGATGGAGTTAGAAAAGCTGAGCAGTCACGTCATCGCCCAATGCATGGAACATCCCTCGACATGCAGGATAGAATCGGGTAGAAGGTGTGTTGTCTTCACACGTCTTCACTGATGAGACAATGTCGGCTGATTCTGGTGTGTTACCAGGCCCCCCCCAACAAAGTCAATGAAAGATGACATGCCCATGGCAAAGAGGCGAGAAGAGATCCACTAGGCACACTAAGGGATCCACTGAGACAAGGAATCACACGGAAGGTGGGATGTTAGGGATCTGGACGTCAAGTCCTCTCCTTGAAAAAGATACCTTTGATTGTGGAGGGCCAGGCCTATCCCCGCAAAACCCGAGGCTTTGGGCCTTTAGGGCTATTTCCATATATTTTTGTCTGTACATAAATATACAGTAGCTTCCCTCTGAACATACATCCCTATATACTTTGGTGCATGTTGATAAGCCAACCGTACATTCAGGGACCAACAAAACCGTCAGCTGGTCCTCGCTGACGCACGGTCCTCGCTGCGGACGGTGAGACGGTTCGAGCATATGGCAGGAGCCACGACGTTCCTTTGCCAGCTGGTTAGACCAAAGGCCCGCAGTGGCCGCGGTGGCCGCGGTGGCGGTGCGGAGTCGTCTCACTCCTTCGTGCCGTTTGGAGCCCGGCGCAGCAGGGCCTCGGGCGCAGGAACTGGGAGGTTTGCGTATTCGTATGGTGTATGACCCAGACACGACTAATGGGACTGCCATAGGACTGCCGATCAGTTGGGGTGGTTGAAAAGGGGTCAATGTAGGCATATATGGCAGTTTTATGGAGCGTCTGGGTTATGTATATTCGTATTTGCTGGGAGTTCTTTCCTGGAGTCACATCTGTGACCAACGTAACCCATCCCCGCAGACAGACAGTCCGATTCAACGGCGCCGAAGATGTTCGACCAATGGAACAAAAGTTACATTGTTACATTAAAGCGGTGTATGGGCTGTTGACCTTAAAACTAGTGTATGGAGTATCCATCAACGGTCTAGAATATGTCTAGATCTTCAGTTGCCTCACCAGATGTCACAGAGATCCTCCGAAAGTGATCCAGGATCACGCCGTTGGTAGGGGCAATTGGACGTGGAGTTGCTTTTAAGGAACCCCCGAGTGAATCCCTAAGCGGCAGAAGTTCCCCAAGCTCTAGGCTATGGCAATGGTGAAACAACTTGTTTGGTCCCAAAGAGGCATATGGGGCACCTCAGGAACAGAATCGCGAACCAGGCGACCAATGCAGAAACTTCCTGGAACTGTTTTTTTCGACAGCGCCGGAACGCATTGCTACCGCACTAGTCTCCATTGAAGGAACTTCTGCAGAGCCAAAACACCAAAGAGTATGTATCAACAATGACGAATCTCCTCTTTGCACGGCGAGTCAGATTAGTTGGTTTCACTTCTCAAAATCCACAAACGCAATCTCTTCTGAAGAGGTACTTGGAGCCCTAATGTGTTCCCTTTTCTCCTCAACCTCAACCTGTCACAGGCCTTCAATGCACCGCTTGAGGAAGGCGCCCCCTGAAAACGCTTGTCATTTTTTTTTTTCGGACCACTAGTCATGACTCTGAGGCACTGTCCGTGTTGCAAGGGGTACATTTCTTCAAAGAATTCACCCTGCTTACCTTTTGGAAGGCTTTGGTATTAAGCCGTTCTTTCCAGATCAAAGGTGATATTGTTTGGGGAAATGCACATAACTACAAGTTGAACAAAGAGGCATGTGTGTTTCATTGGGAGCAGAACACCCGTCCTTCTTGGGAAACTATTTGCATTTTTTTTGTGCAGAGCGGATATGATTCTATTCCCCTACAACAAATAGCCAACCTGGCATCGAGGAGAACCATTTGCTATTTGCCTTTAAGTGGAGTTGCATCAACCCTGCTGAATCAACCCTTACCTTTGGGGGACACCCAAGCATGTCAACATGCTTGCACACAAACGGCTCATGCTTGTCAGGATACTTGACATTGGTTTGATGACTTTTACATTTTCTGGAGCATACAGTAATCATGGACAACCATGGAGGGCAGTTTTGACCTATATATATATACATATGTATGTATATATTGTAAGCTCAACTGCATGTTCAATTGAATGTGCTTGAGGATATCTCAGCACACTGATCCTCACATATGCATGATATGACACCATATGATAAGCATCTGAATCCTGGTCAAGTTGTCGCTTCAGCTATGTAGTAGGCTGGAAACGGACAGCAGGATTTCCAGCAGGTCGTGAGCCAGGGGCCTCATTGCTGCTAGTTGGTGAACCAAACATTTGCAGTAGCTTCCGGTGTTGCATGCAGGGCTTCCTGTCGAATCAATGGACGAAAGACTCTCTTGGGACAAAACCTTGCACCACACCGTCACACCGCCGACGAGAGCTCGACAGACAGAGGCCTCAGAAAGCTTGGCCTGGGACGTGCCCCTGACGCGCGACGACAAGACGGAGCGGAGCCCGTCCTTACACTCCCAGCATCTTGTAGGTTCATGTGCTTGGCAGCCTGCCAAGCTTGGCAGCCTGCCAAGCTTGACTGGCGGGAAATGAGGGTGAATCCCCTTTTGCGGAACACAATTTTGTTTGGACAGCAAATCCATGGGTTTTGATGGGGTCCTCCAGCGATGTGAATGCTTTTTGGGGGGCCGCCTGTTCCGGCTTGTCACCGAGCATGGTCAAAATGGTTGTTGGAGAGTGAACACATGGGAACATATATGCACATCATATAACATGATTTTTGTGGTCCCCAAATAGGTAGAAACGGTGTCCAAGACATTTTCAGTGGGGATCTAGTTTTCTATTTATCTGAGGGTCTATATATTTATTGTTCAATGCTCTGGGGCGGCTCTTGGTGTTTCGTTAGCGTCCTCCCATGTCCTCCCGACGTCATTGAACATGGAAGTAGCACAGAATTCTCAAAGCGAAGCCACTCGCAAACTCGGGAGCTCATCTTCAGTTCTTCAGTTGCCATCCAAGTCATCGACCCTCCCTCCGCCGTGGATGACTTGTTCCACCTCGGAGGGCCTCTTTTTGGCACAGTGTCACGACCTAATGACCTAATGACCTTTGCTCAACTTATTCTGTGATGAAAGTGGCTATGACCTAAGACCACTGATCGCATCCATCCGATTTCTCAGCGTTTTTTTTGTTGACGAAACGTGGATGTCGCATGCGACACATGTCTATTCTTCGGACGACCTGCAAGGCTCTATTCTTCGGACGAACACTTCGCCGTCAGTTGGCTGAATTTCGCTACGTTGATCCAACGCCCAGGAGCTGTTGATCCAGCACCTGATGGCACAAGAGGGACAAAACCACGAGGAGATTGAGGAGCTTCAGCAGGCGGCTATTTCTTCGACGGATTGAAAGGGAGAGGCGTTGGTCGGACCAATGATGTTTGCCGCTTGGCATTTTTGCAAGCCCCTCAGGTTGTTGGAATCTTTGAGTTCATCAACATTACATGAACACCTGATACTTTGAAGAAGGCCCTCCATTTCGGAGACAGGGACAGATGAGGCAACATCGGCTACAAGCTGTCTTCTTCAACACTTCGACCAAACAGCAGGACTCCTGTCTATTAGAAGCAGATTTCTCAGTCAGCCAAGGATCTAGATTCGGACGACCAACCAGCCCAAACGGCTCGGTCGCGCCGCCTCCAGGCCCAAGTGGACCCGAGCCGACGCTCCAGTCGACGCTGGTCCCGCGCCAGTCGCGCCTCCAGTGGTGGCTGGTCCCCTCGGAGTCCTTAGAGCTGTAGCTCGCGGTTGAGCGCGGGCGGTTGACAGCGTGCAGACAGCGAGAACAGGGAGTTCGCGGTGTACAGCGAGGGCTGTGTTCGCTATTAGGAACCACTGCTGTAGAAGGAAACAGACATATGAATGCTTTGGGATGAACAATGGTAAGTTTTCTTATACGATTCTTTCTTGGAGGGGATTGAATGGAACTCCAAGTCAATGAGATGTCGAAAATGTAATTCCTATGTTTTGCTGTGTTTTGGGACAGCTTGCAGTTGCAAGATAAACTATCCTGTTGAAGGCGGTTCTGCTGGTCAGGGTACTAAACCCAACGACGCACAACAAGAGCCCTGTTCCACGCGACGCGTTCTACGGCCCACGGGCCAATGCGAGGGCAATTCGGTGCCAATTCGGATGCGACCCAGGACACTCCAGGTCTGTGTAAATCATGTCTATCCCTTTTTTCGACATGTTGAGCCAAACCAACTTGATGGTCAAGATGCAGCACCCACCTGGAGTGTTTGGGATAGTCCCCCGATGCAGCAAATGTGTTCTTCGCCTGCTGAAACAGAACTGGACCAGTCTCCCACCCACCGAGACCGACCCGACCAGGGTTAAGTGGATTTGGTTGAGATTTGGTCGATTTTCCGAACCTTTTCCCACCAAATTCCGTCCTCATAGGTCCTCATGCAAAGCCTATCAAACCCTGGAAACCCTTTACAACCTTTGTTCCATTATCGTCTTGATAGAAGGCATATTAAGGAATTATCGAGCACATGAACCTTTCATGTCCCCAGAAAAGGGCATGAGTCAGGGAACCCCAGCAGAGCAGGTGAACTCATCGCAAGAAAGCCCACAAAGATCTCAAATAATCGGTCACAACATTTTTAAGTTTGCATCGTTTCATTTTGTTTCGTAGATGTTCATAGGTTTTTGGTACATCGAGTCAAGTCACAGTGACCATTTAGCTGAGTGTAGGGAAGTTTAAGCCTTTTCCTACCACATGGAATACTAATCAGACCAGGCTACCTGGCAGGCCATGCATGTTTCTTTGGTGAGCAACATCTTTTGCTGCTGGATGGTCTTGCTTTCGTTGTTTTTTGGTTGCTCGTGTGCCAAAAGACCGCTTGATTGATGCAAGCCGCTGCAAGCCCGATGAGCTTAGACTCTCCAGCATTCCCTAATGTAACAGCCCAATGCCCATTGATGGGGAGTCTTTTTGTAAACGCCCCTCCTCAAATGAATGATTCAGGGAGTTTGAATCGAAGGCTCACTTTCTGGCATATTGGATGGATATGTTTTTTTTGTTTAAGTCCGCAGCTTGTGGGTTGGTGTGTAGCAAACATGCCACACAGGATGCGCGTCATCTGGATGGTTCCATGTGTTGGGAGCAGTTCCAAGTTCCAAGGAGAAGGGATGCGCTTCAATCGCTGCGCAGAATCGCTACGTTGTTCTTCTTAATTGATCATTCACTTCACTGGTACAAGGAATCTTCAGGTTTTGTCATTCGAGTACTTGAGGTGCGCCATGCTAGGGCACGAGTCTTAGCCATTCAGAAGGGAACCTGTCCCTGCAGGGATTATATAATTCCGTCCAACGTTGTGGGCTCTGCTAGGGCAGCAAACATGAGGACCATAGCGGAGAAGGATGGCCGCCACAGAACCCTAATTTGCATGAACCAGGTTCTTCAAGGTTAGGCCGTGTTTGCTCCTGGACATCTACTTGGAGGGTATATGTATAACTGCATTCTTTATGGCTTCTGGTCGGTCAATCAAGTCGCCTTTCAAATCATTTGCCACACTTGTAGTAGCCTAATTGGATGGGTTCACAACTTGCCATTGGTGCATAGTGAAACCAAACATGTGCAAGTGTCATACACGAAAGTCGGTGGTCCATCAATGGAAAGGGACGGAACATGATAGAAAGGAACAGATCACGCAATTGATTGAACTGACTGATATTGGGCATGATGCCCAATATCAGAGTCAATATGCCCATCTATAGAGCATATATATGGGAGTTGATCGAAAACCCCGTGTAAGTGAGGAGTTTATATATAAAACAGCCTTTCAGATGTTGTTATATAGAACCACCATATATGCTACAACAAATGGACGTAACTTGGGGGTTCTCACTGTAAGCGCGTTCCAGGGCCCGGGTCCCATGCGTCCGACCCGTCGCATGCGGTCGGCGCCTGCGCCTCAGGGTAGCTTCGTCCCAGTCTCGCAGATGGTGCCTCACTTCACCTTCGACGTTGAGGCGACAAAGAAAAAAGAAGATTCCGATGCAGAAACCAGGTTAAAGGCGATTTCGGTAGCTGATTGGAACTCTGATCTAACATGATCTAACAGGCTTTGCCACTGACTTAGTAGAGACCGTGATCACCAATTGGAATGTTCATGATCATGAATGGATCAAACTCTTAAACAAATGGTCTTCAGGTGACCTGCCAACGAACACTATCAGGTCCCCTTCTTCAACATCCTGGTGCCAACAGTGGAGACGACCATGCAGCGCTTGCTGGTCGGCCTCGGCGCGTGCCGGCTGTGAGATGGGGAGAGGGTCTGGTCTATATGTGCGCGGCTTTAGGTGATGACTTGGAGGACAGTGTCGACATGGAACTTCAACTTCAGCAAAGACTTTCACGCCTATGCATGCCTATGAGGACAAAAACAACGAAAGATGACCCAGTAGTGCTCTCACTTCTCACTCAGCTATACAGACGGTTCTCACTGTACACTCAGTATACTCCACGATCTTCCAGATCGTAGCCCGCCAGGTGGAGAATCTGATGAGCGCAGGCTACCATGTGCTCTTCTCAGGCGTGTGCTCTCGACGCGTGTGCTCGACTCTCAGCGGAAGCTCTCGACGCGACGGGGGGGGGTTGAAAGAACCCTGGTTAAGTGGAGGATGACCCTGAGCAATAGGGCATATAGATGCATATAGGTCATGAGCCACGTGGTTGTTGACTTTTTTTGTGAGGGTGGTGATGGGGTCCAGTAAGTGATAGTAAGTGTGTATCGAGTCAAGTCGTTAACAGGTATTGACAACCAGGAACTTTCAAGGCACCTCTCCTATAAGAAATCCCTTTCTAGCCATTACAGAAAACACAATAAACGATTGTTACCAGATTCAATTCTGAAGAACAGCATCATGTAACTTGAGGGCTGACCTTTGGTGGTTGGTTGTTGGCATGTGCCTAGACCTTTTTTTTGACCATTTGTTGTCTGGTTCCATCGCCGTCGTCACATGGATTATCGCACAAGAAGTGTAATTTACGAATTAATGTTGTATCACTATGACATGTTGTTTCATCCCCTTCCAGTTCCACAGTTCACTGGTCGCTGCACCCACCGCACCCACCACGGCACCCAGGCTGAGATGCCCGGTCGTTCGGACTGCCAACCGAGTCCCGCAGGTGAGACCGGCGTGGGAAAGTCCGTTGGAATCCAACAGTTCTTGGGCAGCGCCGGTGAGACCTTTGCCGTTCGGGGCACCCGGAGGACCGGGAGACGGCCCCTTAACCGCCTTCCGGGTGGAGGGAACCTCGAATCAGCGGTGGAATTCCATGTGCGAAGTCAACTCTTGGAGAATGGGATAGCCCAAGGATACCATGGGGAAAGTACCGTTCGGAGAACTGGGTCTGACCCCATCTACTACTGCGCGCCGACTCTCTCCAGTGCCTAAATCGGCGCCGGAACAAACACTCAAAACCACCCTGAGGATGTGACGGATTGGTCACGATGTTGGACCTGTTGCGTGGCCCCCGAAATGGTGAATTACCACGATTTTGAGGTGACTGCAAATCTGTGCCAGGTCCGACAACTCTTGGTATGTGGCAACCAGCTAACCATGCCTTTGGGGATCCTGTTGGCCAACCTCTCTTTCAGTCTATTTGGCCAACTCCTCTTTGACATGATCACACCTTATCTTTCAACCGCAACGGTCACCGCAGGCGCCTTGTTTCCCTCACCTTCTCGCTGCCGCCAAGAACACCGGCCCCGCTTTTTTCCGCGCCGGACGCCTCCCCACCTGCCGCGCCTTCCACCGCCCGGGGGTCCAGGTGGCTTCGGCCAACTTCTCGGCACAGACGAGTTCGGCCAACGTGGTGGACTTTTTGGAGAACACCTTGGAGCCCGGACGCCCAGTTTGGGTGCTTAGCACAGGCTGCGGAGCCCGGTGAGGGGCCTGCCAGGAGCCGCAGTTTTAGTCTTTGATAGATGTTGTTGTTTGTTTTGGCGTTTTGGAGGGGGGCAGTGAACTCTTGAGGCATGTTGTTGGTTTGCAAGGTCAAGGTCTGGCTTTGGTAAGCAGGGAGCAACTTGGGGTGGCTTTTGATAGAGATAGGGATGCCTGGCGCGTCAACTGACTTGGACACCAGGATTCAACAGCCACCCGGGTGTCCTGTGCCCTTTGGGAGGTGGAGATGCATCTGTGTTGGTCTTTTGGTGGTCGATTTCAAGGACTATCCATGTGGGAATCGCCTGGCTGGACTTGTCTACACTATCATGATCTATCGTGTTTTCAGTGGACACCGTGGACACCGCGACAGGAACTCCACGTCAAACGTCATAAAACATCATAAACTACACCCATCTCAAATGCGTTTTTGTAGAGATTCTCTTCTAGACTCAGTGACAGACCGGGTCTGTTTTGCCATCCAATGAGTGGCTTAACTTCGGCCGCTGATCATCTGATATTCGCACCTGACACTGGATGTGTATGAGTTGCAAATTGTAATAGATTGACCCCCCCAAGGCCAAAACCCCCTTGAAAGCTGATGCACCCAGACCCCAACGTTTGGCCATTCGAACCCGTCTGGTTCAGGTCTTCGAATCCGTTTGGATTGGATGGGCGATCTCCAAACCCATAGCCCATAGAATCCAGATTCATTTCAACTCAACTTCTTCGGTTGGACTGAGCCAACACGTCATAACACGTCACACAGCGGCAGCTGGTGCTCTAACGCGATGAGGCGCAAGCGCAAGACCTTGCTGGGTGCTCCAGCGGGCAAGGCGGGGGAGACCGGGGAGACTGGGGACCTGGTTTCGTCGAGAAAGCCTGGCCACCAGTCCGAGACTGGGGAGTTCGATGGATTTCGAGCAATTTGGGGATTTCTCGTGTTCCCATTCGTTGGGATCCAAGTGCTGCTCCGCTCCATCCAATTGTGGCATGTGGCAATATGTGGGCACATGTGGATCCTCAAGCGTGTTTCGTGCCTGCTCCTCGTTTGCTCATGTCATGTCATGTCCAGTTTTTTTTTGCATGTGTGAATTGCTTTAATAAACTGGGATTGGGAGCCAGTTGGTCCATGTATGTCCAGGTATTTGTCATGTTGTAGCCCTGTTTGCTGTTTGTGCCTCACCATGTAAATAATACAATAACAAGTCGTATACAATTAATTACAATAATAACATATAATAACATTATATATATATATATGTATTGCTTGGAATCCGAGTCCGTATATAGAGTTCATGTACAATATACAGTGGTTGGTGAATGAATGTGCTCGACGATTTCGAAGACATCATAAACACACACTCCTCCCTTGGTGACACGATCACCACCCCGTATCTCTACAAAAATTAGGGGGACCTACAACTAGGTAGGGATGTTGGTTCTGCATGGGAATCAAGTGGTCAAACCCTTATTCTCACTCGGAATGAGCTTCTCGGGGTATGTGGATCCGCTTGCGAAGCCTTGGCGTGAAGCCTGGCCACTCTCAGACGATGCTTCTTTTCATCGACGACATCAACATGCCGATGTGCGAGAACCCAGCCTTTCAGAGATTGTTTCAGATACATGATTCATGAGGGTCGAGAGCGCTATATATATGTGTTTCGTATTCAAACGCGTTCATGGGTACCACGTTGGACCCTCAGGGGAGTCATTATTATATTATTGTTCCATGATTGTTTCCTATGTTGTTTCACAGATGTGGCTCAGACTGCAAAACCTGGGGACACAAAGGCTTGAGTCATGTTCTCATTTGTGTTCAATTGCTGGGGATTGGGACACTTCATGTTTGAGCAACTATTCTTTTTGGTGAGAGTGGATCTCAAAAACCTACTATGACTCAACTATGACTCTACTGGTCACCCAAGCAGTCGACTAGTCGTGGCCGCTCGTGCTCGAAATATCACGCGCTCATCCGCACAACGCATCTCGGCCGCGCGTGCTCGTCCTGCGACCTCCCACGAGACCTCCCCGGCTCTGTCGCTGCGTGCTTCTCCGAACACTGAGGCTGGAAAAATATGGCGCACAGCCGCCCATTGAGCTTCTGAGACAGGTGCATTCGGTTGGCCGCAGGAAAGGGAGGAAAGGGACAGGAGACACATTGACTGCGGTGAAGCTTGCATGGAGTATATTGCTACATAACAGGGTATCCCTTCAGTTGACTGTAGTCGACAATGTATTGTTGCTATTTATGGTATAGATTCTAGGCTCTTTGCAGAAGCTGTGGTCGAACAATCACCTGTAGTAAAAATTAACATGAGGACCTTCCAGGGTGGGCGGTGTTTTAGATAGCAGGTGGTAGCCAGGGTCTATCAACCTTAGTATTCGACTTTTGAGTCAGCGGGTGGTCAAGGGTGCGGGTGCCTGGCGGAATTCTTGGGTCCATCCCTTGTGGGTAGTGCCCCATGGCTGCTGCCAGGGGCTTGGTGCGTGTGTGCCAGGGTCCCTTCCTAGTATGGCAGCATGCATCTTCAAGTGTCTCAGTGTCTCTCATCACCGAGTACTCTCGAGGTCATCGACTACAAGGGCTTCTATGACCGAAAGAAGCTCTTTTGGAAGGCACCGATGCTTTGTTTCATGTGCAACGGCCCAACAAGCGCGGTTTGCGTCCAGCATGTGAGCGGTCGTGTGAGCGGATTGGGAGTCAAACACCTCGAGCAATTGATGTTTTTGGACCATCCATGTTGGCGTGGTCAACCAGTTCAAACATGGTTTGCATTGGGTACAGTGGATATATACTGGGTTTTGCATTAGGGTGATTGTTTAGTTTTTTTTTGTATCTCCATCCAGATAATATGTTGTATCTTTTCCCGGCTCCTTAAGCAAATCCATGTTACATGTATATATCGCAGACACCCAGTGTAAACACCACAGTGTTTTGGCTGTGTTTGGCTGACGCAAGCGCGGCATATCGCTGTGGCGTCGTGTCCAGAGGAGTTGACTCACAGCATGACTCGCCAATTCTTTTGAATTCGCGCAACAAGCTTCCAAAGGTGCCACCAATCCATTAGGCCATCCAAGCAATTGAAAAGGAAGAATCTTGTTGCCTGGCAAGTGAGCTCAAAGTGGGACTTGAAACCTGTTGGTATTTAGATTGTTCAGATCCCTAACAGGTTCAGCTCGTATTTGCCATCAAACTATGGGGCTCGTTCTTGCTGAGATTCGATAGAACGTATATAGAAGTATACACCTCTACTACCATGCCCCGCAATCCGCTCATAGGATATCTATGTTTGAGACCAATCCACTTCCTCACTCAACGTGGATTCAGTGGATCTCCTTCTTCGCGGCTCCGCCGCAGGGCGTCCAAGATACTCAGTTCATTGCCGCCTGTGGCCCTCCGGGCGGTGGCCGAATGCCTGTTGGGTCACCCAAACGTGACGAGGACAAGGGGCCATGGAGGAGGAGGAGCCGGAACTGTGGTGTTGGATGTCGTTCTTTGAAGAACATGCAACCTCCATGCACCAGCCGTGGAAGGTGTTTTCTTTTTGGGATAGCCATGGAAGCTAGGGCAGGCCGTTTGTGGAAAGGGCATCCTCCCAAAAGGATCTCAAGTGTTGGAGGGGGGTGGGGAACCACTATACCCAAGCCATCCGTGTATGGAATAGTTACATACATTTCGCCCCAATTCCCAATGTATGATTTTCATATTGACATAATAAGTAACTGATTATTGCAAATACATGGATGGTTGGGGATAGGACCAATCATAATATCTCGTTGAATAGAAGCAAATGGTCCTTTCTGTCCCTGTTTTGTTCGGTGGGTGTCCGTAAGTAGAGGTTGATCCCAGCTCCAGGCCGCAAATGGTCCTGCGAATCCTAACTCCTGGGCACGGCATTGGGCAGGAATGATGCCGTCTTTCGGCCACCATCCAACGATCGCCAAGGTCACACCGCGAATGCTGCGACACTTCAACATGACGCTTGGCGAGTAGGGCACTACGGACTCGGCACCAGCTGTGGAGTCCGTTTGGGCTTTGCAACAACCACCAGCTCGGGGTCGATGTGTTTTGCGCGCACTTTACGCAAAGCCTCAACCCTCGCACAAATGCTTGTTTGCAGGAAAATCTGACATGATGGTGCAGAAAGCAAGAATTCGGGGCAGGCGTTCAAGACGTGTATACTGAAGATCCTTTCGGCAGCAGACGTCTTTTTTTTTTCCGGTTCCGAGCGGCTATTTTCGCCCGTTGGGGGGGGGCGAACGATCGACTTGGGAAGTTGACCAAACCAAATTGATCGACACAAAAATGGTTCCTTCCGGGCTCTGAATAACTTCTTGCAGGTTGGCATAGTTGGTCTTTATTCACTGGAACAGCACCTCACTGAGAAGAAAGAATGGCAACGCTTGAGATTCCACCTCCACATACAAATCTGGTCGCTGTCATCACTGTCAAAATCTTTGGTGGGGGGTGTGAGAGCATGAGATGCAACACATTGCAAAACTATCTCCTTTCAGAACGATACACGGTGTGCATCGGTGTGCGACAATGAAAGAGATGGCCGGGTGTTGGCTTTTGTGCCGTGGTGATGGGTTTTGCAAGGCTCCTTTGAAATGTTCTTTACCGCGAAGATTCCCTGCTGGCCGCAGACATTCCTACCAAACGTGGACTTTACCCAAATCCGCGAATGCTCCTGGGCATGACTGAGGCAGACATTGATTGCTCCAGTATGCTTTTTAATATTTGTATATAATATATATAATATATATTGACAGTTTCGCTTATTTTGGCTGACTGTTTGCGTTGATGAATGTTGTTTGCAGTTGGCCTCATGAACAAACAGTTACTTTGATGTGTTTCGGAACCGTGGTCGCACTAATCACTTAATGTTGATTGTTCAGGGATGAAACATCAACAAGATCTTTGTGGGCTGTAAACAGTTGTAAAATAGCTTCTATTTTTGGCAGACCGTGCGACAATACATTCTTGCACTGACTAGATCGTAAAGTGGTTTTGCGTTTTGGGCCCTGAATCACGCTCTTGCGAGCTGTTGTTGTTGTTGTTGCTGCTGCTACTGTTGTTGTTGCCGTTGTTTCCTTACATCATAGCCTGGCATTCATATACTGTACTCATACAAGTGCTGTCTACCAATTAATATATACCATATATATATATATACCATATATATATATACCATATATATATATATGTTTTTGTCGATCTGTTTGTGTTTGTTCAACCAGGTTTCCTTACCCCTAGTTCTTATGATTATTATGCAGAAGCCTTGGCGCCATGAAGAACACTTGGGTTCAACACGTCGCCACCGAATTTAGGTTTTTCTACGCAACCTCGGACATATTAAGGCTACCTTTGCAATGCATGGTTGACCGGGCATCACGCAGAACAGTGTCATGGTTGCATGTTTGCTCTAAATATATTTTTTGCACGCGTCGCGTGGACAAACCGGAGGCAGTGGTGCCTGCACAAGTGCAAGTGCCACACTCTGTTGGAAGACAACTGCCGGATGACGGATGTGGTGGAGTTTGTTGCGCATGACAAGCAGAGGGCTCACACTGTTGTGCCCTTTAGCTCGCGTCGTTGGTGTGTGTGTGTGTGCTTGAAGGACTCCCGCACCCCCCCCCACAGGCAGCCAACGAAGGATTGTGTCATGTCCGCCAAGCCGCGTAACGTTGTGGACAACAATGTTATCAGAACCCGACTGGGCCAACCCACTTGCACTTTGCAGTTGGGCACAGCGTTGACGTGCCCGGTAGACTACACACTACTGAGGGCGGCCGTGGTTAGAAGGGACAAAGCTGTCGAAGTGTGTCGGTTTTCGAACCCACTGTGTATGTGGGAACGGCTAAACGCTGATGCGAGGTGCTATGACCAGCTGCCAGTCCAGGGTTGCGCGCCAATCTTGAAGCACAAAAAACTGCATTTACCATGATTTTGTCCCTAGACTTTAAGACTCCGTGTGTCAGTGACATGCCAATGCCAGATTCCAGGTTGTAGGCAGTTCTTGACGAGTTGACTTCGCTGAGGATTTGGATGACAGCATTGCCTGAGGACACTGCAGGGTCTGTCGATCATGAATCATGGCCCAGAAGGCACGTTGGCTTCACCAGCATCACAAACCCATCAACTCTATCAAACTAAAACTAAAAGTTTGTTCCCTTGTAACTGCATGTTTTGTTGGCTGCTGTGGCAGGCCCCCGTGAGTCATTCACAGAGGAACCCCGTTTAAATCCACATAGTATCAAGTTTCGCTGCCAATGCAGACTCTGCAGGACTCTGCAGTTCTCAAGATTAAGATCGAGCAGAGCATCGCCAATTTTGATCCTACAGGATTAATAAAGTATGGCAAATACGTACTAATTACATTGGGTCTCTTGATTGAAGGATGATTGGTTTGTGGAACACAACAAACTATACAAAACTTCATATATATATATATATATTTAAGAGTTGGGTTGGGCACATGTGCACCCTTTGTGTTGTCGGGACTCCACGTATCTCCGCAGGATACGATGCGTGGGGGCCTCAGAGTTAGGTTTGTAACAAGAGAAGGGTGGGTACAGTAGAGACTTCGAGTCAGCCAGCTCTCAATACCACGAGAGTTTATTTTTTTTCACTTTGTTTTTGCTTTTGAGTGCGAACAAAAGTATGATTCTAGGGCATTGGTTTGTTTTTTCTTTGATTTCTGGTTTATTTGTATCTCAGTCAGTGGTTTGGCACCTTTCTCTGGGCCAGAGTCTGCTGGAATCCAAAAACCTTGCAAAACCCTCGAGAATCTTTGATTTTTTTACGATTGTGTTACAATTTCCATGGT